TTACTAACACCCAGGCCCATAAAAGTCGCCGGCAGAGGATGTCCAGACTGTGGTCTAAAGGCTGAAAGCTGCACAAGTGTACCCTCAACTGATTCTGCCTGCTTCAAGACTTGGGTGTCGAAGTCCATGTTACCCGCTGAGCTCGGTAGAAGAAAGCCATAACTCGACACCTCTCCAGGGCCCGACAGAGGCGATTGGCTAACGGCAGGTTCATCTAAGCCTGAAGGTTGAAGAAGGATGCGAGACACCCGACAGCGCGATGCGAAAATTTCAGATTCTGGCCAGCTAGCGTAGTTCCAGGCAGACCCTTGCAAACAAGATAAGCGCAAAGACTCTGCAAGGAAATGCAAGGAATGCCTGCAAGCCCAACTGGCGCTTCAAGCAGAGTGCGAAGATCACATCCTGGATGCTGGATGTTAGGTTGACAGCCACGCATTGGAATCACGGGCCCTAGACCCTGAGCCTGAACCCTAATCCCAAGGTCCTCGACCCAGGCCTCTTCCAGACTTCCAGATGTCCTTCCCTTTACTAACTTTACTACTTCTGATAAGATGATGCAGCAGGTTCCACTCTTCACCACGCCCTCTCGTGAAAGCTCACAGCTCCCTTCAAACCACGGCTTAAGCCCACCGAACTGGCATAGACACGGACGTACCAATTTGATGTATCTTATCTCGTCATTTTCTTGTCACTTGGTGGCTGATGGTCTCAGCATTTCTGACCTTTCGCTCATCCCGCCAAAGTCAACGCAGAAACTCTGCGGGAAAATATCTTGCGCGTGCGAACACGATCCAGTCGCCAGAGCACATTATAACACCCAGTGCTAGTCCAATCGTCTTGGCCTCCCCATGCCGTCCTCCATGGCATCTCCCTGAGTCATGTGCATCATGTCTTCCTCGGTGACAACTTGGACTCCGGAACTCGACATGCTACTACCCAACGCAGCTTGACGGCCTGTGGGTTTTGAGCTCGTGCATGCCAGACAACGCAAGGATACACAAGCACCAACAAGCCGCCGGTGACACCCCCGGGCTGCTGAACTGTTGGTTTTTTCGGGCCCTGGCAAGACAAACCGGTGACGCCGCGCCGACGTCTGCCAAGGCACCACGGCTCACTCCATAGCCTCCCATGCGGACGCTTCCGTGGACTTCAATGTGCTTCAAACAAACCGTCGCCTGAACCGCCATGGCCGAAGTAAAGCGCTGCCCACCTGGCCAAGATCTCCCAACATGCGGAATTCAGATCGTTTTCAGTGTTCAGAGACGTTCGGAGTGCCCTTTTCTTTAGGGATGTCCTTCTGGTTTATTTCATTTCATGAGCTGGAGGCAGGAGGGGCCAGGACGGACACAACGGCTCGCAGATCAATCTGCCACGAGCAGGGACCGCTGCTGATCGCTCTAAGTATTGCAAAAGCAATGAAAAGGTAACATCATCACAGGAAGTCCTGCTTGCACTGAAGAGCCCTCCAAAACAGCCCGCAGACCAAATCTGATGGTCTTTAGATTCAAGCAGGCTTCTAAAACCACGGTGGAGACTCGAACTTGAGGAAAGGCTGCATAATCGGAGGACTCATGCTTGGGCTTCTTGCTCATGGCGTCTCGAGTCATTCACTAAAACCCTCATGCAACTGTAGCTCAAGAAGTCAGCTGTCATCCCAAGTTGTTGACAAGCATCGACTGCTAGACATATCGCGAAGATGGCGTGGTGGGACCAAGGCGTGAACAACGCCTCAGTGAGTCGCACTGATTCGCTTCTTGTCTAGCACACGAGCCCCGAACTCAAAACCAGTTGGCCTTCCAGCATGTTAGCCATGATTGCCCTGCATCTGCATCCCCATCATAAACAGAAGCCATGAAGCCTTACTTCGAGCAACTGCGAAGGCAGCATCCTTTGCACACCAAACCTCCTTGGAACCTAAATTCAACACCAGGTGCGTGGCCGAGGTAGTGCGGATCCTGCAAAGCCACACCATTCTGGCTTTTCAAATGCTTTTCAAGCATCCAGGCGCAAGCTGCATGACAAGACTGCTTATTCCAGCCACCCAGGCAGCATGTTTGTTCCCTTACTTCGAAACCTGAGCAGTATATGCACAATGCAGGGCCGAACATGTTACATCGCGCAGAAACATACATGCATGAGGTTGATGCAACCGTCCGAAACGAAAACATGCTCAAAATCGGCTTGCCTTCATACATGGATTCATGCATGTATGGACTTAGGTCATGTATGTGACAGCATGCGCGTCTTCAATAGTATTCACTTACATAGGAATGCATGCTTGCGGAGAAGCAGTTGCTCGATATGTCGAAGACTTGTAGCTGTGAGCGGATGTGCATACGATCTGCACACATGTGCAGGTGTCCGTAAATGTATATCGGAACATAATCGTCTCAGAAAATGAGAGAGCAATCAAAAGGAACCGCCAACAGATCTCGAATATCTTCGAATTTCCAGCAAGCCCCACATTCTCCAGAGCCTCGCTGCGAAAGCAGCTCAGCCGGTCGCTAAGAGTCCGCCTCAGGGAAAACTGTCCTCCAACCCCAACGTCACAGCGCACATGTGGAGTGTCACAAATTTCGAACATCAACAGGGGGCCACCCTTATAGTAACACTCGTACACCTGCATGTATGTATATATATAGTACATATATATATATACATATATACATATACATATATATATATATATAGAGAGAGTACCCGTATAGAAACATAACACCCCTGCACTTATCTGTACTACCCGATGCTATTGGAGCCGCGGGACAAGTTCACGTAGGTGTCGGAATCGGCCTAGCGAGCAAAAAGCAGCCAAGGTGGATCTCATTCTGAGGTATTTTTCCTTTAAGGCTTTCGGGCGTAGGGCTCAGCAAGCATGCTTTTTGGTTTAGGGTGGATGTTAACTAAGGTCATGGGCTTCGCAAAACCTGCGATTCTGGAAACAAGACGGTGGAAACTCCAAGCCTTGAAGATCCAGTCGCATTCGTCTGGCTCATGCTGGCCGAGGTAATGCCAGATCTTCAAGATCTGAGCGTGAATCGAGGTTCAAGGGACAACTGCTAGCTCGGGGAGGCTATAAGACTAGTGCGGAGGAAATCTGCAAATTGCCATGTCATAGCTCTGCTCCTTCTCTTTGTCTCCACCGTTTCTACAAGACGTCGGTAAGTCCGAAGAGAATCTTCGGTCGCGGCCCGGATGGGTAGATGACGGTAGTCCACCTTTGCCAGGCTCGTCGAGGCACGATGGTTGGGCATCGATTATGCACTGTTGGGGATCATAGCTATACATGTTTTCTAGGTTCGTGATGCGATACCTCGGGAACAAAGGCAGATCGCACACTCTGCCAAACGGCAAAGTACACGGACCCGAAGCAACTGATTGGAACATCGCTAGCTCAGGGGACAAGCATGCTGTGTGCACCTGTGCAACTCAGGAACCTTCCCACACCGCACGCCATGTCATGCGCAACATCGACTTGAGTGTTGAAACGCCACTCCTGAATTTCATCTAGGCCAGAGCCGGCTCAACAATATCAAGGCCCTGTGCCTCTCAATAAGTACACATGCACTGAATTTCTGCATCTCGAGAAAAAAAGGGCGGGCAAGCTCATACTTGACAAGGTTCCACGACCTCCTTGTTGGGTGACGGCTGTGACGTGTCGATGCCATGACAGTCAGTTCGGAATGTCACATGCGTCAATCGTGGTAGCACAGATCTGTTTTCTAAGGCTTGGACCAGGAATGAACAGTTTGTGAGAAGCGCTGCTGATGCGTGCTGCAGTGCACATACATTCTGGTGGACAGCTGCCAGAACGACAGCGCGATCGTTTCGAACATCTGCGTGCGCATAAAGAAGCGCCTGTCCATCATGGCGCACTGCTTCCAACATTACTTCCCGGTCCCCCAAAAAATTGCCATCGGCAACGTAAAGAGCATCACCGCTTCTGTGTACTGCTGCAAGTACGACCTCACGATCATCGAGAAGTTCCTTGGAAGCATGCTGCAATGCCATCCCATCCCGCCGCACGGCTTGCAACACGATGTCTCGATCACCTCTCAGCCTCACAGTAGCGTATTGAAGTGCCTGGGGGTCTCGCTGCAGGGCTTCCAGGACAATTTCTGCATCATCTTTCAGGTCCAAACTTGCATATCGCAGCGCCGTCGGATCTCGTCGCACGGCTGTCAGCACCAGGTCGCGATCACCACGAAGCTTTTCGGCAGCATACCGAAGTGCGACCCCCTGCTGAAGAACCGCTGCCAACACAACTTCCCGATCACCATCAAGCAAGGCGACGTGCTCAAGGGCTCTCCCATCCTGATGCACCGCAGCCAATGCCACCTCACGGTCTCCTCGAAGCCGGGCCGAAGCATATCGAAGCAATGTGCCATCTGGATGCAGGGCTGCCAGGACAATGTCGCGGTCATCAAGGAACCGATCGCTTGCATACACCAAAGCACCTCCATTCTGCAACACCGTTGCCAAAACCATTGCACGGTCATTGTGCTGAGCTCCAGACCCCCATGAGAGAAGCCACCCACTGTTTTGCCAGAACACTAAGCCTGCTAATAGCCAGAGAATCCAGGGGCGGATAATTGCTTGGAAGCGGTCTTTGAATGTGATTCGCGGTATGACTTGAGTCGTGACTTGCTCTGACATGCCGCCTGGAATGGCTTCTATCGATGTCAAAGCTGCCCTGCAGAGAGGGCATGTCCGCACACGCAGCGCGCAGGAAAAACAGAACTGGTCGTGACCACAGGGTTTCAGGGTCACCTTCTTCTCCTTGTCAAAACAAATCGCACATAAGTTTGAACCTTCTTCCTCATCCTCGCCGTTCAGAGTGCTCCGAGAATTTCCACGGTACGTGACCATGACTAGCATCTGCACATATGTGGACGTCGTTACACCCTCAGAAAAGCCCGACTCTCAATGCGGTGCAGAGAACAAAACTGACAATGAGCACGATGATTGACATTTTTAACCTCACCACACCTGTTCCCACTGATTCTGCTGCCGGCGCGAGTACATGAGCATGCCCAAGTACAAGCCATGCATACAATCACAAGCAGCGTTCCTGTTCTGCTGCTCTTCCGGCATCAAAAACCTACGAAGCCGCCACAAACGAGACCGAGCATTGCAGGCGGGAGCCTCTCTTGCGGCGAATCTCTCCGAAAGCCCGCCTCCTCGTCTCCGGGGACGTGAAGCGTAAACGGCTCCAGGGGGGTCCTTCACACGGGGCTTAGGGTTCCTCGCCGTCCCGCAAGCGCACGAGACTTCATGCCCGGAATGATACGTAAACGTGCACATTTTGTGTACATAATTAATTATGTTACATAGAATGTGTGTGTGTGTGTGCACATATGCACATCGTCATATGTATTTGTATATATGTATGTGTATATATATACACACACATACACATACACATACACACATGCATGCATGCATGCATGCATGCCTGCATTGCATTGCATTGCATTGCATTGCATTGCGTTGCATTGCATTACATTACATTACCATTGCATTACATTACATTACATTACATTACATTACATTACATTACGTACATACACACACACACGTGCTACTGCGAAAGTACAATGTACTCAGATAGCACACTAACAATACCCTAAAGTTCTGCGTGCACTTCTCACTCAGCTTCAGATCAAAGTAACCCTGAAAGTTCCCAGAGCGCCTCTTTCCAGGGACTGCACAAAGTGCATCACGATCTTGAGCCACATAAGTGGCAAAGTCGGGGCATGGATTAAACGTCTTAATTTTCACAGATACACACATACACACATACGTACACATACACACACACACAATCACACACACACACACATACACACATACGTACATACGTACATACATACATACATACATACATACATACATACATACATACATGCATACATGCGTGCGTACATACGTATGTACTGATTATGTCATCATGTGCATGGTCTCCGCAACAATGCCAAGTTTCGCTTCCTACTATGAGTAGCACCATCCAGCGATGTTCGAGTGAATCGAACATCACATACAGAAACCCGAGCAGCAAGAAACCAATAGGAATTGTCGGCTATGTCGTTTTGCCTGTAGTCCCTTCAACCTGAACCAAAGCCCTAAAACCCTCAAGAACGCGGTCCCAGCCGTGCTTGCAACGCTGACGAAGCGGACCCTTGCACCTCGCAGGCTGACAAGCACGAAGACTTCAGACAATTAGGTTAGGGGTTGAGGTTTCTCGAAGGCTTTTAGGGTTTAGCGTATGGGGTGTAGGGTTTAGGGTCGCGGTCGAGATGTTTGGGTTTCATTTTTGTGGACACCTGTTTCCGATCGCAGTAGAAACTAACATCAAAACCCATGGGGCAGGTTGACGCGGGATTTTCCCGACTTCGTAAAACCCTTCAGCTTGACTAGTCACCATGTCGTCATTTCTGGAGGTGTTCTTTTTGTTGAGGGCTCTTTTCTGCCAGCACGACTGCCAGACTCTGGAGGTGGATCTAGGGTTGAGGGCTTTAGGTTTCCGCTCAGGGGTCTAGGATTTAAGTTGAAACCGGTCCGGAAGCCTCGACATTCCTGGCGGCCCGTGACCCTGTGCCGCTAATCCTCCCTCCCAAAAGGCTGCAACGGGGTAAAAGGAAGAAACCAAGAGGAGTTATAAGTAGATTAACGTTCCCCAAACAGTGTGGTAGCAGTATGGGGTTCTTGCGCTGCAAGTCAAGAGAGTGTTGAGTGAGGTGGCCTCGAGAATGCGCTCTCCGCGTCCTACCATTATACGCAGCCTATGGTGCAAATCTGGTCTCCGCGCCCCATTATCCGGATGCTCGCGGCGCGCATCTGTTGCCTGGTGCGGCGCACCTTTTTCTCATACAGGCGTAAGTCATTGCAAATATTGCGACATGGACCACTGTTGGCTCTGCAAAACCTTGGGTCGAAGCATTGATTGGAGGAAACGATTCGGGTGTTTCCCTGGATCACGCAAACCAAGAGGTGGAAGCAGAAGTCATGGCAAAACAGCCCTTCTCGTGACCCTTCTGGACTTGTGGAAACGCCACAGTAACTCTAACTCTAACCCTGATGGTAACCCCTTTTGTCCCCTACAGCCTTATATCAACCCTTATAGCAACCCTTATAACAGCCCCTAAACCCTAAACCCTAAACCCCTAAACCCCTAAACCCCTTAACCCTAAACCCTTATAGCAACTTAGCAACCTTTGAATCCCCACCCCAAAGCTGAGCGCCGCTCCCGCGCTGCGCTGAAGCACTGGGGCGGCCCAGGTCTCCAGGGCAGCGGTGGCCAAAGCGGCATCCTGGTGGCTCCAAGGCCCTAAACCCTAAACCCTAAACCGGGCTCTTCATCTTCAGGATTATGGAGACTTTATAGGGTTTTGGGTGAAGGGTTTAGGCTTCAGTTTAGGGTTTAGGGGTGGTTCCACGACTGGCATCGCACTCTGAGGACTTAGATGCCTTTAGAACTTTAAGGCAACTCACAGTCATCTGGTGCGGGCGACTCCCTGAAACCCAAACTGCCCGATGGGCCCGATGTCATGTCCTTCCGGCTCCGCTGGCTGATCGGGATGAAGATGCAAAGGTGGGTTCCTGTGAAAGTTACACGCAACTTCAAGTCTACACAAGCTCCTAGACTGCGCACAACATACTCGCCCAAGGCATCCCAGGGCCACTTCCATTCTGCAGCCGTCATTGGAGCTGGGATCAAGCAATGAAGACTTCCCAATATTGTAGCCCGATGTTACACTGTCACGCTTTCAACCCCAACTTCCTACACCTTGGACATCAAAGTCTTGAAGAGCGGCGGCATAAAGCCCGCTCTGCAAGCAATAGCACGGCGAGGCAGCAGGCTTGCCATCGCCTTGCAGCTTGGAATTCTGTTCCTAGCGTGGGCGCTAACCGACAGAGCTGTGTGGAAGCTACGAAATAATCTACGTGCAGGCCTTTTTCCATGGACACAGTACCGACAACAATAAATAAAGACAAAGCAGTCGCCCCTGTTGAGGCAGGGATTAAGCGGCCAGGGCCCGCACATCACACATGCTCCACGGCCCAATCTTGGGGAGTTCCACTGCTCTGCCGTGAGGGCTCACCCGATTTCAACGACAGGATTTCTGCGGCTTGCTCAGAGCCTTGCGATACGTGTTTGCTTCTCTGGGAATCTGCTTGCTGAGGCTCGTCAAGCTGCGGAGCCGCGGGGTCAGGGCTGCGGCGACACGGCGCAATGCTTCAGTCATCAGAATCATCAAGACCGTCACCATCACCGTCCTGCAGCTGCCACCACCATGGTCATGACCCCGATCACCGCCGTGGACATCATCATTTTTTCTTCTCCAGTAGATGGCTACGATCAGTGACACTCACACGACAATCATGCCGGTGACAATGACCGTGAAGCTTGGTCGTGAAGGTGACACGAGTGCAAACGACGGGGATGGCGACAGTGTTGGCAGCGGTCGTCGTAGAAATGCTGAGTGTGACAGCCATTGTCAAATTGACCGTGACAACTATCAAAGTCAGCAGCCATGACATACACTTAGTACCTTTTCCACTCGGCGCGTCGCGGCATGTATTTGTTAGCTAAAGCCGCGGCCCTTCACGGCATCTGAGCAAAGCACTATCCGGTTGCACAAAATACGCATGTAAAACCCGGAAGAAGGCTTGGTCTTGGGTTTTGCATCGATCAACTAGAAAACAAGACTGACATTCAAGCATCGCCTCAGATCTAGCACTCCAAACCAGGACAATGCAGCTCATCAGAAACACTCCAACTCGCAATGATCCGCCGAACCAACGTCCTGGACCCGATGTACACTCTGAACGGTAGGCACTCCTCCGCAACCGGACAGCCAGGCTCAGCATGTTTTGCAAGGGCTGATGGGGAAAAACCCACAACCAGGAGAACTCTCATAAGTGCCCGAAGAGGCATCTTCAACTATGGTTCACACTAATCATGACATTCCTGCGGGTAGCAGTCGTGGTCGTACTGGCGATAGCATAAGTCGTCGAAATCGTCGTGATCGCCGCGGACATCATCGTAGTAGCAGCAGCAGCAGCAGCATCATCAGCAGCGACAGTAGCAGCACAAGCCGAAGCAGAAGGAGTAGGAATGGGAATAGGACTAGGAATGAGGAGCAGGAGTGGGAGTGAGATCGCCGTTGTTGCCGCCGTCGCCGTCGTCTCCGTCGTTCCCGTCGTCGCAGTCGTCGGGTTTTCACAGTGGTGGTGGTAGTAGTAGCTGTAGTAGAAGTAGAAGTAGAAGCAGAAGCAGAAGTAGCAACAGCAGCAGCTGGAGGACGAGGAGGAGGAGGAGGAGTAGTAGCAGTAGCAGAAGTAGTAGTAGTAGTAGTAGTAGCAGCAGCAGCAGCAGCAGTGATAACAGCTGCAGTCGCAGCAGCACCAGCACCACGACCACGAGTAGGAGTAGCAGCAACAGTAGCAGTGGCAGTGGCAGTGGTAGTGGCAGCGGCAGCGGCGTAGTGGCAGTGGAGTATTAGCAGTAGCAGTGGTAGTAGTCGTACTAGTAGTCGTAGTAGTAGTCGTCGTCGTAGTCGGAGTCGTAGTCGTAGTCGGGGTCGTAGTCGAAGTCGTAGTCGCGTCGCAGTCGCAGTCGTAGTCGCAGTAGTACAAGAAGTAGTAGTAGTAGTCGTCGTCGTCGTCGTCGTGGTTGGTGGGAGTGCGGATATAGGTAGGGGGAGGGGGGCAGTACAGTGGCAGCAATACCAATAGCAGCAGCAGCAGCAGCAGCAGCAGGAGCAGGAGCAGGAGCAGGAGCAGTAGCAGTAGCAGTACCATTAGCAGTAGAAGCAGCAGCAGCAGTTGCAAAAGTGGCAGCAGAAGCAGAAGCGGCAGTGATGATCATAATCACATTCCAGCTTGGTCTAGACAGA